TGTACTTTAGCAGTTGTTCCTTTCTTAGCAATCAAAAAACTGAAAAACATAATAGTATACAGTATCCAGACTTTCTGTGTATTTTTCATCTTTACATGGCTTATTTTTTTTTATCTATTAAACCAACCGCTCTTGTCCCGGTCCCTTATTTGTCCCACCTTACCTTGGGAACTTACCAGCGTGCTGCCCTGACTGCAAAAAGTTCTGAGTCGGTTGGAAAAGGCTCCCCGTACGGGCTACCATTTTACCATTTGCCAGCGCCATCTTAAGGGTGTGGCACTTTGCAGATCTCTACAAGACCTTGTCTGAATAAACAAGGGAGATGGCTCCTGGGAAATCAGTGACACCTGAGATGGACCACTGGTCTCTGCATACATATGCACACCAGCGCACCCAAGAGAACACACACACACATGCATATGCACACTAGTGCACCCAGGAGAACACACTCACACATGCATATGCACACCAGTGCACCCTGGAGAACACACTCACAGATGCATATGCACACCAGCGCACCCTGGAGAACACACAGATGCATATGCACACCAGCGCACCCAGGAGAACACACTCACACATGCGCATAAGCAAACACTAAGAACAGGGCATGCAGGGAAGACTAGCTTTCGAGGAAGAAGACGTCCATCTAGCAGACATCCAAAGCTCTTGTCACAGCCTTTTCCTCCCACTCTGAAGTGAAGTAGGTAATTTTCCTGTGATAGCTCAGTTTCAGCTGCCTAACACTTTTCTCGGCAGTGAAGAACCGATGTTGCTTCTCTAATCAGAAAGGATCTTTTAAAAGCCTGCTTCATATATCTTCATGATTATGTTCAGATGATCTTAAGAATTAAGTCTTAAATTACAGACCCTCTCAGTTGGAGACTACAAATTTAATTATCACTTGTTAAGTGTGAATTAAGAAAAGAAAAAAAATCTCCCAGGGCTCAGGCTGCAATATGGCCTGGAGTTCTAAATCACTTTTTTGGCTTCTGTCACCAGTGCAGATACTCCCAGTACCAATCAAGGAAAGCCAGTTTCAAAATTTATTTGAGACTTTCCATATTAAGTGATAATCATGAAGAATGACATTGTTTTACATGTCACCAAAACTTTATACTCAGTGGAAAACAGAACCAAGTAGCCAAATATTTCTAAAATGTTGGAGTTTTCAATGTCTTGGTGTCATTTCTTAGTCTGGGCACTCAAGCAGGCAGTAGAGCAGCCTGTCCCTCCCTGTTCCAGATCATTAAATCTGGGTTTCCTAGAAGCATACAATCCACACGGAGAGCTCTACCAGTCAGAAAAACCAGCCCCAAGGGCAGGGGTTGATATGCACCTCTGAGCAGGCATGAAGGCCACAATGAATTGCCACTTACACACGAAGCCATGTTTTGTAGGCTGACAGGGCGAGGGCAGCAGGAGTAGGATTTGTGTTCACACCATACAGTTGGGAGTTTCTGTGATTGGCTCCTCTTTAGCTGCCAGAGGAGGAGGAAAGTTCAGAAGTTCGGCCAGGTTGGCAATAATAAATATATATGTGAGTGTGTATATGTATATGTACATGTGTGCACATGCACAGATACACACATACATATTCATATCTATATCTATATACATATGTACATATCTATTGTTTACTCTCTCTAAAGGAAAGAAATCCTAAGTAAGTTAACAATGTAGTCAGTTTACACATACAGGCTTCATTCAGAACTTCAGAGTCCCTCAATCATTTTGCTATCTCCTTTCTTTAACGCTAGACTCCTAGAACTCCACAATCACTTCATGAATACACCTGGAGTGTCGAGGACTCTTGCCCCTTATAAACCGTGTGGCCACTCACTTTAGTTTCCCATTACCCTGACTACAATACAAATGTTTTTGACTCATCATTCCAGCTGTCTGGCTGGCCCGAGGGCAGTCAGCGCATCACAGTGAGGACCACGCATCCTGCTTGCCTCACTGCTACTGGGAAGGAAAGGGAAGCAGATGAGTTCACCCCGAGTGACCTTCCTTCCTTCCTTCTACCTGTCCTGGCCTCCTAAAGGTTTCACACCTCCCAGTAACCTGACAGGCTGGCAACCAAGCCTTCAGTTCCTGATTTCCCTTCAAGGAATATAAACTGTGTGGTGAAAACACACCCTTCCTTCTTCCAAGTTGCTTTTGACAATGATGTCTGTACTACAGCAACAGAGAACAAACTAAGGTAGACAGCCAGCACAGAGAGGAGTCTAATGGTCCAGCCAGGGACAACAACAAACCTCCTCAGCATGCAAGGGGCAAGGTTCTGACTCGAGACTGGCGGATGGTCAAATGATACAAACGGTTCTGAATGGAGAAAGGTTGGGTTGCAAAGTCCTGCACACAGGACTCTTCCCACTGCTCCTTTTGTGGTTTAACTTCCAGAGGTCAGAGCTTCAACAACTGCCAACTTCTGACAAAAGATAAAAATTCTGAGAACATGGATGTTCCTAAATGGTGGCCAATCTGTAAAGCAATGAACACTTCCTTCCCAAAATGACCTAGATACTCTCCAGTTTTTATTATTGAAAGAAAAAAGAGGAAGATGCAGAACTGGAAGAGGAGGAGGAAGAGGAGCAGGAGGAGAAAGAGGAGGAAGGGGAGGAGGAAGAGGAGCAGGAGGAGGAAGAGGAGCAGGAGGAGGAAGAGGAGCAGGAGGAGGAGGGGAGGAGGAGGAAGAAGAGGAGGAGGAAGGGAAAAGGAGGAAGAGGAGGAGCTGGCAGTGGTGGCCACAGAATGGTGGGTATTACACTCCACTTTTGGGTTCCCTGCATTATCCTAGTGTGGACTAAATCTATGAGCACCAAGATCAAGGCTTCAGCAGACAAGGAGGTCTTTGGTGGGGATTTCTCTTTGAGTTGTAAGTTGGCCTCACAGAAAAGTCATTAGAAACCAGCTTGGCTAGGGGCAAGAAAAAGCCTTGAAGTGAGAGACAGAAGACCAAGGGTTGTGCTTGTGATTTTCTCTCCCAACAAGCCCAGGGACCATGAGCAAATACTTAAACCCTCATCTGAGAAGCAAAGGAGGAAACCAAGATAATCTCTAAGGCTTCCTCTAGCACCACCAATTTTAATTATCCATATTTTTCCTTAAGTCGGTGACCAGTTCATTCAATTATCTACTTGTGTACATTCAATCATCATATAGCAAGAAGAAAAATTAACATCTCAAGACAGTGGGAACAAAGTAGGCTTCACCCAGGACTCTATGGACAGGTGCTTTTTCATCCTTTAATGTCTAAACAAAATTACAAGGAGCCAGCAATGGGAAAGAGGAGAAACGTTGAAGACTCAATTAGGAGGAAGAGAGGGCAAGTTATTGCTTCATCTCACTGATATTATTTTGAGATATGAGGATTTAACTGAGGGCTGCATGCTGAATAGGAGGTGTTCTACTGGACTATGTACCTACAGTACCTTTTCCCACTTATTTATTGGCAGGGCCTTACTAAGCTACTCAGAGTAGTCCTCCTGTCTCAACCTTACAATGGCTGAGAATTACAGGCACCCAACCACAACACACCTGGCACACCAATGTTTGTCAAGTGCCTACCATTTGCCAGGTACTATACTGAATAGTGGGAGATCCTCTGAAGAAACTTTGATCTCATGTGCATTCTCTATAGAAAGAACAGGTCAATAAAGAAAGGAAACCCATATTAAGTTCTGTGAAGAAAGCAATAATAAAAGTGAGGAAAAAAACAACCGTGAATACAATAGATGGCCACTGGGGGAAATGCAAGGGGGAAGGTCTTAGACCAGGGCGATTGGCTGAGCTCAGTTGGCAAGGCAGATGACAAGTGCTCTAGTTTCACACACACACACACACACACACACACACACACACAGGTCCGGTTGATGGAAGCCAGCATCATCTGCTAAGAGGGAACCTCAGTTAAGAGACTGACCTGTGGGCAAGTCTGAGGGGGCGTTTTCTTGACTGATGTGGGAGGGCTCAGCCACTGTAGATGGTGTTACCCTTGGGGAGGCTCTCTTGGGTTGTGTAAGGAAGCAAGCTGAGCAGGCCTGAGGCAGCAACCAGTAAGCAGCTTTCCTCTGTACTCTGCTTATCCTGCCTCTCGGTTCCTGCCCTGCTTCAGTTCCTGATTTCCCTTCAAGGAATATAAGCTGTGTGGTGAAAACACACCCTTCCTTCCTCCAAGTTGCTTTTGACAATGATGTCTGTACTACAGCAACAGAGAACAAACCAAGGTAGGCAGCCAGCACAGAGAGGAGTCTAATGGTCCAGCCAGGGAGCAAATTAATTTTGACACTGGAAATGACTGTAGTTGGAACTTAAAAAGAAAACAAGAAGTTATTTCTGGAAAGTACAAGATCCAAGTAGAACTGAACTGAAAGTGATTTTGCTCCTGAGGGGACCGCTGGCAATCTAGAAACCATTTTGAGTGTCAATATTGGAGAGAGGGGTACTTACTGCTGCTGAGGTTGAGGAAATCCAGACTATTTTAATCCAGATGGTGGTTTACTCACTCATTCGTTTTAAACTCGTGTTCTCAATAGCCTCATTTTTTCCTTTCCCGTGGGGATAAAATAAGAAATGTCAAGTATTTCACTCACTTATGGCCTTGGGAAACCCCAAGGTTTGAGGAACTTGGGACAGATCTGGAAAACTCCATAGTACACGTACGGGAAGGGGTGGGGGAGTCACTAACGTGAGAAAGACCATAATGGAGTCCTAGGGAAGGAGTCCAAGATGCCCTACACGACTGCAAAGCTCCGCTCTCCTCTCCATTGCACCATGCTGTAGGCAGGGGCACCAGCGCCACCCTCAATCCTTGGGGAACTGTGGTCGCGGGTCCCGCCTGGCCCGCAGCAGCCCCGCCCTCTCTCACCGCGGAGGGGCGTCCCCGGGAAGAAGCCCCGCCCCCCACGCACAGCTCACGCAGTCTCTCGAGGATGCGAGGTCTCTGGGAGCGCCCCACGTGTTTTCCAGGACCCTAGAATGCGGCCCCGCCCACAGCGGGTTGGCGGGCTCCAGCCCTGTTTTGCATATTCATGAGGCGGAGCAAGGCAGGCTGAGCGGGAAAGCTTGGAGTCGGTCTTGAAGAGCCGGCTGCCCGCCGCCGTTGGTGGCGTCGACTCGCTGAGGTGAAGGCCGAACCCTCGCTGGGCGCTCCCGGGGAGGAGAGCCTTCGGGTGGGGTTCTGTGGTCTTCGTGCCCAAACTTCTCTGCCCTGTTTACTTGAGAGGTTTGGTGGGAAAGTATTCCACGGACGTTGAGAGCCTGCTGAGGAAAAGTGTCACTGTGTCCGAGAGTGGAAGAGGACCCGAAGCTTCAGGTAACCCTGCATAATGAAAGATTTCACACATTAAAAACAAAAAGGAGGTGGTGCGGTGGGAGAAATGGACTGGTAAGTCTTGAGTTTCCACCTTTTTAATACCTGTAAGATTCAGGTCGTCCTTGTTTTCATTGGAACTGGAGAACACTGCGTTAAGTGAAATAAACCAAACTCAGAAAAACAAATACCATGTTTTCCCTCCTACTGGAATCTGTATTTAGATTTACGCATGCGTGATAGGAGTGTTGAGTGGCCTGTGCAGTGAGTACATCGTCTGCTCACCGAGTGGAAGCGAGTGGGAGCGTGGATTTTGCTCTTAAAAGGGGGTTGGATTCCTTTAGGATGATAACATAATTTTTCCGTTAGTGGACCATAAGTCTCTTGGGGGCAAGGACCGTATTTTACTTTTTATAATCCTGTGTTTTGCCAGGAACCTTGCAATTGCACAGTAAATGCTGAATGAATGGATAATGGAAATAGCGTGAAAAAAGACATTTTAAAAAGCAAGAGCATGAACAAATGCCCAGTTAATACAGTGGGAACCACTTAGTCTGAGTAAGCATAATGTAGCAGAATTATCAGGGACAAATGGGATTTGTTAAAATGGTGGCTGATAATTTATTGAAGCAAGCTCTGCCAAAGGTTTAGAAAGGAGAACTTGGGCAAACCAGCTTCTCTTTCTGATCTTAAATTTCCCTTATTCTGTTTTACATTTTGCTTTCTTTCATCTCCCTGAGCAAGTGTGTTGTCACATGCTTGAAATGCATGTGATGTGCATTTGGAGGTCAGATGCCAGTGTCTGCTGTTTTAAAAAATTTTTAAATGTTCTTACTTGTATTTTTTAAACTTGTATAGGTGTTTTGCCTTCATGTATGTATGTGGGTGCCTAGTGCCTACAGAGGACAGAAGGTGGCCTCAGATTACCTGGGTTCGCAATTACAGATGGTAGTGAGCTGCCATGTTGTTGCTGGGAATTCTGGAAGTCGGTGCTGAGCTGTCTCTTCTGGTTTTTGTTTTTTTTTTTTTTTTTGAGACAGGATCTCTGAATCTGGAACTCCCCAGTTGACTAGAATGGCTGAATAGTATGCACCAAATACATTTTTAATCTCTGCCTCCCAGAGCTGTGGTTATATGTCCATGGCACTATACCTGGGCCATCTTCCCAGTCCCTATTTTAAGTTTTAACCCACATTTAATTTATATTCATATATAACCTGAGATTTAGGTTGAAGCCACGTCCTGTTCCTCCATCCTGTCTTCATTCCTCCTGTAGTTGTTCTCTTGTTCCAACACTATTTATTGAAGAAACTATTCTTCTTGCAACAGGCAGGCAAGCATGACACTGAAGCAGTAGTCAAGATGTACATCTTGAGCTACAAACACAAGATGGAGGAGAGAGACGAGGAGGGAGGGGGAGGGAAGGATAGAGCATGAGTGTAAGAGAGTGAAATAGATAACATGAGACAGCAAGAGCAAGTACTGGGAATGGTGTACATATTTAAACCTCAAAAGCCCACCCCCAGTGACACACCTCCTCCAAGAAGGCCACACCTCCTGATCCTTCCCAAAGAGTTCCACCAGTGAGGGACCAAGCATTCAAATATATGAGCCTATGGTGGCCATTCTCCTCCAAACAGCCACAGATAATGAATTAAAACACATCAGGGGTATTCTCTGAGAGAGGATGATCTCTGGGCTCATACGTACCTCCTGGGTCTCTGGGCTTGTGAACTCAAAAATTAGCTGGGTTGCACTTGAATAGGAGACCTCCATAAAGCAGCTGTTGAAAGAGAAACAGCAATAACAGAGTAATTAGAAGTTAAAAGGATTTTATCTGTTTTGAAAAATCAGTTGGATCTTTTACCTTCTTGAAATAAGCTCCTTTAACCCAGAAAGAGGCTACAATGTTTAGAAACAAGGAAGTAAGCAAACAACTAGGGAGGCACTGATAGTTTTCATGTAGATGAAGTGAAACCACAGGAGACTTCCATTTGGGGAGTCAGTGTTGAGATGCTCCCTTATTGTGTGTCCAGCTTCTTGTGTTTTAGTCTCTGGGTAAACCAATGATTTCTTGAGATCTTGGTTTCCTAATCTACAAAGATAGATATTTGAAATAGATGATATTTACTTTTCTCTAACTTTAAATTTCATGATTCTTTTCCAGAACATTAATTCTTTTTCTAAAATATTTATTTTGTGTACATGTGCACGTGTCTCTATGAGTTTATGCACACTTATTTTTGGATGCCCATGGAAGCTGAAAGAGGGCATAAGGGCCCCTTGGAGCTGCAGTTACAACTTGCAGCTGTGTGAGCCTACAGACCTAGGATTTAAACTCATGACTGAGAAATAAGCACTCTTGAGCAGTCTCTCTAGTCACTTAGACCTAAACTCTTTTGTTCCTATAGTGTTTCTTCATCGAGTCAATAGATATTTATTGAACACGTATTTTGTTCCAGAACTGTGGTGATTCTAAGGATAAAAATTCATCTAAAAGTTCAGATTATGTGATTTAACTTACATCCAGAATATGCAAAGCAATAGAGATGAAAAGTAAATTAGACTTCAAGTATATTGGCACATGATTGAAATCCCAGCACTTTGAAAGCTAGGCAGGAAGGTCATGTGTGTGAGGCTTGCCTGGGTTACATGGTAAGACCCTGTCTCCAAAGCAAAGCATATTAGTGGTTGTCAGGGGCTGATAGGCTGATAGAAGACAAGAATGGGAATGATTACTAACAGACATGTGTTTTTTTTTTTTGAGGTGATGAATTAGATAGTGTTGATGGTTATATGACTTGGAATTGCACTTTTAAAAACCTTTAAAACTGGGCTGTGATGGCGAACACCTTTAATCCCAATACTTGGGAGGCAAAGGCAGGTGGATCTCTGTAAATTCAAGATCAGCCTGGTCTACAAAGTGAATTCTAGGATTGCCAGGACTACACACAGAGAAGCCCTGTCTTGAACCCCCCCCCAAAAGCCTCTTTACAAATGCCAAGCTTGACATACAATTTTACTCTCAACTACAGTAGTCACATACACAAAGTAAGTATAATATACTGTGCATTGCAATTGGAACATAATAAAGTAGGCAGAGGTGGTAGTGGAAATCAGGGCATTATTTCTTGAGAAACTAAATCATCTTCAATAGATAGTAACACTTTGAAGTAGAAGAGGATATTTCTCACCAGCCTGGAAGCCAGAGAGAGTAGAGGTAAACTATATACAAGTGACTGGTGCATAAAAATACAAGGGAAATGACTAAAGAGGCTAGGTAGGCATGAGGCAGATCTTAACAATCTCAAAGAGTTTTTCTGAGGGTAGTGGGATAGTTATATAAGTACTTCAGTTTGGAAATAATATATAATTAAGGTTGTAATTAGAAAAGTCTGGCTGCAGTATGAAACGCAGAACAGAGATGGCTGAGTACAACAACAAGTAGACGGGTGGTTAGAGTAATTCAGGCAGAAGATGAGGCTGATCTGACCTAAAGTAGAGATGACAGGACCAGCGTGGGGTACACCCTTGTAATCACAGCACTTGAGAAGTGGGGGCAACAGAGTCACCTCAAGTTCAAGGCTGTCTGGGCTACATAGCAAGTCCCAGGGATGTTGGGGCCATGCAATAAAACCCTATCAAAACAACAGTACGGGGCTGGAGAGACGGCTCAGCATTGAGAGCACTGGCTGTTCTTCCAGAGGTCCCTGGTTCAATTCCCAGACAGCTTACAACTGTCTGTAAATTGGGTTTCAGGAGATCTGATACCCTCACACCGATGCATGTTAAATAAATTATTAAAAAACCCAGCAACAACAGTAAAAGCATCAACACTAACAACAAAAGAAGACCCCCCCCATAGATGTGCTTAACGATGTGGAGAAGTGAGTAGTTGAGACATTTGAGAAGTATTAAGTCGCCTGAACAAAGAAATAGGAAAAGAAGGCAGACTTGAGTCATACATTTTCAGATTGAGTGATTTAAGTGTCTGATGAGTCATTAGTAAGATTCACATTTGGACAGAGAAACCCTGTCTCGAAAAACCAAAAAAAAAAAAAAAAAAAAGAAAAAAGATTCACATTTGGATGTGCCAAGAACATCAAAATGGGAATTGTCTAATGGACAGAATTGTAGGTGACTCCCAGAGTGACCTGGGCTGGTGTACATGTAGAAATCATTAGAATAGAAATAGTACTTGAAATAATGAGAGTGTATTTGTTTGTTCAGAGAGTTTGTTTAGAAGCTAGAAATAAAAATAGAAGACACTAGAACAGAAGCTTGAGGAATACCAAAATGGTAGGAAGAAAATAGGCGGGGAGGAAGGACTGGAGGACAGTGGGAGAGAACTCCAAGTCTGGAGAAGCACCAGAAGGGAGACTAATGCATTAGACTAGCTTTTTTGTTTTTAAACTAAACATGCTTTGTTATGTTTAATGAAAACGTGTTCCAAGTAACATTAATTTAATAAATTTAACTTTGAAATAACTGTGAAATAGTCACTGTTGCATGTTTTATCGTGGAGATGGAGAAATTGAGGCCTCCATCTTTCCAGGGTTACATAATCAGTGAATTGCATACTGAGATGTGATCTTAGGCAGTTTTGTTTCAGAAAGTCCATATGTTTAACCCCTACCCTATGTTACTACTCTAGATGTACACTGAACAAGACCCAAAAATGATTCTATGTTTGTGTTTACAAAAAATTCAGATTGCAGAGGAATTAATTTAGCTAGAGTTATACAACCTAGTAGTAGAATCCAAATTGGAACTCAGATTTCTTAATCCCAAAGTCTATTTCTACTAGATTATACTGTTGGTTTTCTTATATATCCATTTGTGTTGCATTAAATTTAATTTTACTTGTTTTATAAATATTTTAAATCATTTCTCAGATGCAACAGTCCCAGATGCATTGGCTTTTAATGATACTAATTTAATCTGGGCCATACATATATTCTAAAAATACAGGCGCATAACAGTGTATGGTGGTCTAGTCAACTGATGGCTGTTTTTCAGTCTTGAATCTGTCTCTAGACATGCCAAGAGAAATAAAGTATGATCATACAGAAGTTGTCTGAAATCTTATACAAATATTGTTACTCATATTTATTGCTGCCCCTGTGGGAGGTCATATTCTAATGGGTTAGAACTGGAACTTAAGCCCTTATACCTTTCTTTCTTTTCCTTCCTTCTTTTTTCTTTATGATTTACTTATTTATGTATATGAGTGCTCTATTTCCAGGTATGTCTGTGTGACATTAGAGATGATTTTGAGCCATTATGTGGTGCTGGGAATTGAATCTCCGTCCTCTTAACTGCTGAGCCATTTTGTATTGCTTTGGAGCCTGTCCTGGAACTCACTGTGTAGACCACTGGCCTCCAGTTCACAGAGGTCTGCTTGCCTCTGCCTCCCAAGTGCTGGGCTTAAAGGCATGAGCCACCAATGCCCAGCTGCCTTTGAGGCAACAGATGTGCTGGGCCAGACTTGACAATTACATTCTGAAGACAAAAAAAGAAAACAGCATTTAATGCCTACTCAAGGACCTTTCAGTAGATTTCAATCTCATATAAAAATATTGTAATAGTGTCACCTGGTGCTGTTTTGAAGAAATAATTTAAGAAAAATTAAATAATATCTGCTTATAGTCTCTATCACCACCTTGTGGCACTGTCTTCAAATAATTCTAACCTCTTATTTGCAAAAATCTTCCAGAATCTTGCATTACTTGCTAGTATAGCAGGTAACAGATTGCCTTGGGTGAGCCAGGGTGAAATTTCTTTAAATGGGCTATTACAAATGAGACCCTGATTGAAATAAAATTAAGGCCTGCAGAAAGAAAATGGAAGATTTACTTAGAAAAAATTCCACTGAAGCAAAAAGGGTGAAAAGTATGCTTTTAATTCCTAACTTAAAAACTTTTTAAAATGGTGATTTAGTCTTTGAGTATAATTTTGGGTTCTGCCCCCCAACTCCATCAACTTTTAAATTTGATTTATTATGCATAATGTGAAACTAATCATGTCAGCTATTCCCAGTATATAATCTAGTAATGCTAAGACGCCATGTGACAAATGCCAACCATTTACCATTTCCAAACATTTCATCATAGTGAATGGAAACTCCATCCTATTGAACTCCATAGCTTCTATCCCTATCCCAGCCTGATAACCTCAGTTCTGCTTTTTGTCTGCATATGTTTGCTTAATTTATTGTAGGTACTTCTGTACCCGGCTTTGCTCCTCCTCCTCCTCCTCCTCCTCCTCCTCCTCCTCCTCCTCCTCCTCCTCCTCCTCTTCCTCCTCTTCCTCCTCTTCCTCCTCCTCCTCTTCTTCCTCTTCCTCCTCTTCTTCCTCTTCCTCCTCTTCTTCCTCTTCCTCCTCCTCCTCTTCTTCCTCCTCCTCTTCTTCCTCTTCCTCTTCTTCCTCCTCCTCCTTCTTTTTCCTCCTCCTCCTCTTCTTCCTCCTCCTCCTTTTTCTTTTTGTTTTTTGAACACAGTATTTGTGCTTGCAAGGTTCATTTACAGTGTGGCATGTTACCAAAATTTTATCCTTTTCTAAAGATTGAATAGCCCTTATAATATAGTACATTTTTGTTTATCCATTCATTTACTATTTTTCTTTATTCTTTTTTTGTTTTTTAAGATGAGGACTTGCTATATTGTCCAGGGTGACCTCAAACTCCTGGGCTCAGATGATTGGCTTGCCTGAGCTCCCAGTGTGTCTGGGCCTACAGCAGCCTGCCACTGCATCTGGTGGTTTGCGCATTTGTCTAATGAGAGCTGTTTGGATGGTTCCCACCTGTCGACTGTGATGAAGAGTGATGCTGTGGGAGTTGACGTACAGGTTTTTGAGGCCTCCCTGCTTCTTCCCTTCCTTGTTTGTTTCTTTTGGTGATACACTTAGAAATGGTCATGCTGGATACTAGGGTAATTCGTTAAGAATTTGAGGAGCTTGCTGGGTGGTGGTGGCGCTTGCCTTTAATCCCAGCAGAGGCAGAGGCAGGCAGATCTCTGTATCTCTGTGAGTTCGAGGCCGGGATGGACCGACAGCCTCCAAAACAATACAGAGAAACCCTGTCTCATAAAACCAAAAAAAAAATTTGGGGAGCTCTATACTGTTTTCCCCAGTGGCTGGACTACTTTATGTTCCAGCCAGCAGAGCATAAGGGCTTTAACTCTCGACCTCTTCACTAACACTTAACGGTTTTCCTTTTTTGAATAGGTTTTGAGTTTGCAAACAAATCAGAAGTAAATCTAAGAAATGTTTTTGAGTCCTGCTATACACAAGAAGACAGTTACTCTTTGAGGGAATAACAAAGATGAATGAGATATATTGTTAAGTCTTTAAGGAGTTTATAACTTACTTTTCTTCTGAGAATATGTTTATGAATAAATAAAGTATCTCATAATTTTTAGTGGGTAGTTGAAAAATTAATACAGAGACTTCATACCAGATTCAGAAAAAACTTGAAGTGAAAACTTAAATGGTTGTTAAAATTACTTGCCAAAATTAGTTAATTTATATAGCTCTAATTTGGAAAATTAAAAATAAGAATTTTTCTAATTCAGATTCATTTTCATAATTTTTGATAGGGCCAGGTAGAACTATTTTAGCTTCATTCTCCTTTTGTGTTTTCTAAATTGAGCTTGGTAAATTTCTCTTGAAATAGGACAAGTCTGACAAGTAGTCTGCACTTAATCTCACTTGATTTTAAGTTTTGATTTTAGAATTCAGTTTTATCTTTGGAAAGACAAAATAGGAAGTATTATGTTAGGCCAAGTCTCTAATTAATTTCTTAACAGGTTAGAATTGTTGACGGAATCCTGACACACTGTGACGATGACTACTGCTCAGCTCTCTCATGACACCAGGACACTAAAGGCGTCTAAGGTATTTGTTAAGAATTACAAGAAAATCAATGACCATTTAGTGAATTACTTAATTTAAAATTCCTTAGCAGCAGTTTTATCAGTTAATTGGCACGCAATACTCTGGGAAAGCATGTCTACATTTTAATGCCAGATGGACTGGGGATATTTGGAAAATTAAGACCAATTACAAAGTTACTTACTGGGTGCTTGTTTCATGTTTACTAGAGTAAAAGAAATCAGAAACAAAGAGATGTTTAAAGAGAATGGTCCTTTGTTAGACATCTACTTCCTGAAGCAATTAGGAAACTTGTGATGTAATTTTCAGAACTAAAGAGAAACTTTGATGCTCAAAATCTGGGGGAGAATGTATTAGTCACTTCCTGTGTGGTGACAAAACATGAGATAAACTTAAAAGGAAGAGGGATTTATTTTGGCTCACAGTTTCAGAAGTTGATTCTACTGTTCTTGACTCAGTGTCAAGGCAGAGCATCATGGGATGTGCAGGGGAGAGCAAAGTGGGACCCCATGGTGGCCAGGAACAAGAGTGGGAGTGGGAGGAGGCACATTTGGTAATTACCATCCCATTAGATTCTACCTCTTAAAAGTTCTACCATCTCTCAGTAGCGCAACAGGTTGATGACCATGCCTTCAACTTTGGGGGACACTTATAATTCAGACATAACAGACATAACCTTGCTGGATTTACTCGGGCTAGTTCAGCATATCCCAGAACAGTCATTAATTCATCATTTATTTATTCATGTTCAATATATAATATATATGTAATAATGTGTTTTTATAAGAAAATGCAAAAATGATCTTTATCTCCTTAGAAGTTTGTAATTTTATTAAGAAAAATAAGATATATGATGATTAAGCTGATGTTACATATATGTATAAATATTTACATATATGTGAAAATGAGTGAGAGGCTGAGGCAAGGAGAATTGTTACAAGCTTGAGACCAGCTTGGCTACTTAGTGAGTTCCTGGTCGCTTTAAGCTAGATTGAGATGCTGTTTCTGCCTCACAACCACAAAAGAATATAGTAATTCTAAAGTGTAGCAATGGCAATTCTGTAGTCAGTGCCAGGTCTTGTTTTAGGAGTATTAAATTATAGCTGAGAGAGAGAGAGACAGAGACAGAGAGAGACAGAGACAGAGAGAGACAGAGACAGAGGGAGGGAGAGAGGAAGAGAGGGAGGGAGGGAGGGAGGTTTGAAATTGAAGGAGAAATCAGGCATAAAGCAAGCAGCCAACTTTCTGTCTTTGTTTCCGTTTACTCCCCAAGCTAATCCCTAATCTCATCTAGTTTCCTAAACCTGTGCTCCCTCCTGGGGGAAACCTTTAGAAACCTTCAGCTGGGTATGTGAACTGCAGACCACATGGCAGGCATTTTTCTCACTGTAAATTAACAAATTGTCTTTTTGGGTGGGAGGAGGGGAGGGAAAGGGAGAGGGATGTGAGATTGACATGTGAAGAAACCTTGTTTCTAATTTGAATTTAAATTTAAAAATAAAAAATTTTAATATAAAAAAACAAAATTGTCTTTTTGGTTCAACCTTACCTTTGTTTGGGTTACACGAACTGCTTTTCCCAATAAATTTCAAGTGACAGTGCAGTTCTGTTATCTAATCCTACAAACAATGATAATAACTACAGAAGTCAATATTTATTTAGCACTTAACTATGTGCCAGGCATTGTGCCAAGGGAAGAAATTGAGCAGAGTGGTGGTGGCACACACCTTTAATCCCAGCACTCAGGAGACAGAGGCTGGAAGATCTCTGAGTTCCAGGTCACTCTGGTCTACAGAGTGAGTTCCAGGACAACCAGGGCTACAGAGAGACCCTGTCTCAAAAAAAAAAAAAAAAAAAAAAAAAAAGAAAGAAAGAAAGAAAGGAAGGAAGGAAGGAAAAAAAAAGGAAGAAACTGAAGCTTGGAGAAATAAAGTAACCAGTTCAGCTCAGCTCAAGTTCACACAACAGTTAAATTGTCAACAGCAGCATGCTTTACTACCAAAATGTGATTTAATCTATTTCCATATATTAGAGGTTTACAAAAATGTCACCAGTAACATTTAAACTTTAGACTAACTAATCTAAGGAGAAAATCTCTGGAGTAACAAAACTGCAGAGGCTTTTCCAGCCATTGATCTTTGTTACTATGAATGGCTTTCTTTTTTTTTTTGTTGTTTTTGTTTTTTGTTTTTCGAGACAGGGTTTCCCTGTGGCTTTGGAGGCTGTCCTGGAACTCGCTCGGTAGACCAGGCTGGTCTCGAACTCACAGTGATCCGCCTGCCTCTGCCTCCCAAGTGCTGGGATTAAAGGCATGCGCCACCAACGCCCGGCTGAATGGCCTTTTAGTACCTGTATTTAATATATACTTTCAAGTTATTTAGCTTTACAAATGAGTTATTCATGTATTCCCTTGCTATTTTGGATTTTTGTGAGTTATTTCATGCATTTCATGTCAGCTATTAGCCAGTATCTCAAAGGAACCTTAGCTTCTCAGGATCTATAGGTTCAGAACCCCAAATTTTTTTTTACTGTTTAGAAGTACACTGCATAGCTCAAGCTCACTATGTAGTTCAGGCTGGCCATGAGTTTACAGCCCTTCTGCTTCTGCCCCTAATTACTAGAATTACAGATATGAATAACCATGGCTGGCCTCAAAAAGAAAATTAAAATATCTTTAAAATAACTGAATATGATGTGATTTGACAAAAAACATTAAGTGATAATTCATTGTCATTATATAGACTACTAAAGAAGATACATTCTAACATATGGCAAAATGGTATGTAGATTATCCAGATGTTCTAGGACAATGTCTTATCTTTGTCTCTGTGTGCACCCGTTTGTGTACACTGTTTGCAAGTCCTTTTTGATCTGAAGGCGTTTGTGGGTAGTAACGACCTTTAAGTAACCTTTACTAGAATTAGTAGATGTCCAGCAGTTGGAGCTGTGTAATACAGTAAAAGGACACTTGTAACTTGCTAGCTTTGTGAGCTGGGAAATCACTTTATCTTCCTCATTTAATTCAATATACTCATGTCACAGGCACCTGATTTACAGAGCAAGTTCCAGGATAGCCAGGGTTGCATCTCAGAAAAACAAAACAGGAGAGGAGGAGGTTGGAGGAGAGAAAAAGAAGGAGGCTGAGGAAAGAGATGGAGGAGGGAGGCAGAGAAAGAAGCAGCAGCAGCAGTAGCAGCTTCTATAAGATTGAGATGTAGGCAGTCTTTAATTAGTAGGCATTTTCTTAATTAGTGTTTGATGGGGGAGGTTCTGTAAGGAAGCAGACTGAGTAAGGCACGAGGAGCAAGCTGGTAAGCAGCACCCCTCCGCGACTTCTGCTTCAGCTCCTCCTTCCAGGTTCCTGCCCTGCTTGAGTTCCTGTCCTGATTTCCTTCAGTGATGAGCAGCAATGTGGCAGCATAATCCAAATAAGCCCTTTCCTCCCAATGTTGGATTTGGTCATAGTGTTTCATCACAGAAATAGAAGCCAAAACTAAGAAACTGAGTATGGAGGGCGAGCAGTGTGCCATGTGTGCTTGCATAGGTCGGTTGCCAGCTTGCATCAGTGGATTTCTTTCCACTTTTTGGGTTCTAGGGATGGAGCTAAGGCCATCAGGCTTGATGCCCTTACACAAGGCACCATCTTGCTGGCCTGGAAAGAGAAATTCTAGCTTGTTTATTTCTAAGGTTCTGACTATGTTAGTGTAGTCTTATTCCAGTAACAACAGGGAAAGCTTATTCTGTCACTATATTTTGGAATTTCCCTAACTTAACCAAATGCATTTTATCATTTGGAGATTTGCTGACAACAAAAAGTTCTAAGGATGACTTGGTCTTAAAAAGAACTTTGTAAGCTCTTTAGGACTAGTAATTTGTTGTTCATAATCTTGGCAGGGCTCAGCAGTCTTCTAAAAATATTTCTGGTAGTCCCAGAGACAAAATTAAAAAACAAAAAATACTTAATTAAAGTGGAAAATGGTTATCAGACTTCTATGGGTTTCCTGTTGTTTTAAAGATTAAATACAGCTTCTTTAATATGGTGTCCTAGATTTCCTGCACATCGGCTTCTGTTTGATTCTCATATATACCCTTCTTGAACTCTGAGCTGTGGTTTTACTGATCTGACAGTCATGCCTGTGGTATGTCACAACACTCCTGCTCTCTTGCCTGTATTAGGAACATTCCTCTTCTTTGCTGCTTGTCTTTAGGGCTCAATTTTTAGTCTCACTTTCCCACAGCTCTCCTACTCAGGTAAACCTCTGCTCACATCTTGCATGTGCAGTCTCTAATGTCTCTCCATTCATTTGATACCCACTCTCTGCTCTTGTAGTCCAAGTCTTTCTCTCTCTCCACCTGCGCTGTAAATTCCATTAGACTACATATGTTCTCTTTTGGTTTTCTTATTCTTTTATTATTTTTTTCCCCAGACAGGATTTCTCTGTGTAGCCCTGACAGTGCTGGAACTTCCTTTGTAATTGATGTTTTACAAATTAGCAAAGTAATACATGTTTATATAACAAGTGAAACCACACACATGCACACATGCATGCAGACACAAACAAACAACAAAACTCCAAGCCAATAAATGATTGAACTAGGGACCATAGAAGCATTTTATAGACTTTAGCCTATTTAATCCTCAATAAAACCGGTCTTTTTATTACCCCTATTTACAGATGAAGAGATTGAGTTACAAGAGAGATGGATTAATGCAGAATCAGGTATCTGCAACAATTTAGTAGCAATAGAGTTTTATTGTAACGCATTTACCTTTTTGTGGCGTCTTCAACTTCTTTCATGTTGCAGTGGCAGAATTAACTGCAAAACCTAAAATATTCACTATCTGGGCATATATTAGAAAAGTGTGCTGACCTCTGTCCAAATTATAAATCATGGTAGTAGCAGAATAATGATCTGAACCAGGCTGTTGAGATGCAGAGTCTATCTCCTCAACCTTTTCATTACGCTGCCTTCCTTTTACCAGTCTACCCTCAAGCCACTCTCAAGTGACTAGTGTCTGTAGCTTTACATTCTGCAAGCATTAGGACCTGGGTGAGATCCCAGGCATTGTGCACACTTGTAATCCCAGCACTGGTGAGATGGAGACAAATGATCTCTGTTGCTTGCTGGCCAGTCAGTAATCTAAGTAGTGAATCACAGGGCAATAACTAAAAAATACTAAGTGATAGCACCTGATTAATAGTACCTTAGGGGTGACCTTTTACGTCCACGTGCATGTGTACATACATAGTTGTATACACATACATCTGTCTACCTGCACACACGGGAGCAAACACATAGCACACAAAGAATTTCTTTTCATGATTTTAAAAATTGCTTATAAAAAGAGATAATTTGGTGGTTAGATATGGTATATGATAGAGGGAGAAAAGCCGAAGAAGAACGAAATTGCTTCTAGCCTGGTAACTGGAATAGATGATTGATTGACTTGTCTAGGAATGAAACTGGGGACCAGTTCATTTAAGTAGGGTAGCAGAGATAAACTGAATTTCAGGGTCTACAAAGTAGTATAGAAACAGATGCCAGATATTAGAAGTATAGGCAGAAAACATAAGTTGGAAATTGAAGTCTTCTCTATAGGCTATAACTGAAGTTGTAAGAATAAACAAGATTACCCAAGAGAACTGTGATGAGAGAAAAGGATTGAAAATCGACTCCCGTGGAGGACAACAGGTTAAAAAAGAGAGAGAGAGAGATGGGTCAGGTGTGGTGGTGCACCCTTCAATCCCAGCACTTGGGAGACAGAGTCAGATTGAGCTCTGTGAGTTGGAGGTCAGCCTGATCTACAGAATGTGTTCCAGGCCAGCCAGAGCTACCCAAAGAAACCTTCCTTGTTCAAACAAACAAACAAACAAACAAACAAACAAAAAGAGACATTGGGGTAGGGTGGGCGTCAGGTGTGTAGGAATGGATGAAAGCTGAAATAGTGTTTGCAGGTAGGAGTTTAGCTCAGTAACTGGGGTTCTTGTTCCACATGGACAAGGTCCTAGGTTTGAATCCCAGTTCTGCCAAAACAGCAAAACAAAACAGTGTTAGGGCAACTTGAGGGAGAAATACCGATACAGTGTCAAATGCTGCAGAGAAGGTACATGGGTGAGAGATAAGAGGAAGATAGATGTGCATAGAGAGCAGTATAAATAAACAAGAGTAATGTTCAGATTCCAGAGAAGTCTGAGGCAAGTGTGAAGAGAGGAGTGAGGTTATATAATTAGAGTAAAACTCCCAGTTTTACCTCAGATCAGTGGGTCATTGAAATAAATTCTTTTAGTTCTGAATTACTTGAGTAATTGCCTGTTTCTTTTCTGCCTTGCCTGTGTGAAGATCTACTTTAATACAGTACCCAGAACCCTGTTTTCTTTTGATTACTTATGAATTTATCCAATTTAAAGTCTTTTTTTTGTTTTTGTTTTTGTTTTTGGTTTTGGTTTTGGTTTTTCGAGACAGGGTTTCTCTGTGGCTTTGGAGGCTGTCCTGGAACTCGCTCAGTAGACCAGGCTGGTCTCGAACTCACAGTGATCCGCCTGCCTCTGCATCCCGAGTGCTGGGATTAAAGGCATGCGCCACCAACACCCGGCCCAATTTAAAGTCTTAAAAAGTCTTTCCACCCTATCTGTGGTAATTGTTTGGTGGTAATTCATGAATACTGATTTTTTTCATCTTTGTTTTTCTTCCAGAGTACAATTTTCCCAACCCAAATCACTAATGAGCATGAGTCGCTGGTAATGGTGAAGAAACTTTTTGCTACTTCTATCTCATGTATAACATATTTGAGGGGCCTGTTTCCAGAGAGCTCCTACAGAGATCGACATTTGGAAGGTAAACTTGAGTTAAATGATCGCTTTGGCTAGTGTCCCTTTTCTAATTAGCAGGAACAAACCTTCCCTCAAAGAGTACATTAGTTCTAACTCAGGGGCATGTTCTTCAGAATCAGCTTACTAATTCATTTTCCATTTTAATTTTGCTGTGTGTATTGGTTTTACTTATAGGAACCATTCACTTCCAGCTAGCTATCAAATGCAAAAAGAAACTTGTGGAGCTAAGTCTAGAAATTTTAAGCCATCCCTATAAAAGCCAGGAAAAAAATCTATCTTAATGCTGAAGATTTATATTATTTTGTGCCCCAGTTCAATTTGTTCTTTGAGGTACACATTTTGACCATGAGGAAGTTCAAAGGAATCAGGTGAGAAACTTCTCTCTACTAACATATAAATATGCCTGGGAGAGACAAATCCATTTGTTGAATAGCATGGTTATTTAGACAGTTATTTTAATCAGTTCTGTTCTTTTTACAATAGCCAGTCATACCTCCCTCTTCATTTTATTGGTGTGTGTGTGTGTCTGTGTCTCTGTGTCTGTGAGTCTGTGTTTTTCTGCACAGACACATGCTACCGTGGAGGTCAGAGGACCAGTGTTAGTCAGTTCTGTCCTTTCATTGTAGTTTTCCCAGGAGTGAACTCAGGTCTTCAGGCCTGGGTAGCAAGCACTTTTACCCACTGGATCATCTCACTGGCCCCAAGTTCTTCAACTATTACCTTTACTGTCTCTTTGTGACCTTAAATTTACCATATTATGACTTTATATTACAAGCTGTTATCTGGCTCCTTAGAAGAAATTGTACTGGAGGCCAGTTTTTCAGTCTTATAATCTGTTTGAAAAGCTGGGCTGCAGGTTACTTGTGATGGTGTATATCTTTAATCCCAGCACTCAGGAAGAGCTCTAAGTTTAAGGCTCAACTGGTTGATGTAGAGAATTCTATTCTAGCCAGGGCTTAACAGTACGGCCCTGTCTTAAAACACCAAATCAAGCTGGGTGTGGTGGCACACGCCTTTAATCCCAGCATTTGGGAGGCAGAGGTAGGTGGATCTTTGTGAGATGGAGGCCAGCCTTGTCTACAGAGTGAGTTCTGGGACAACCAGAGCTGTTTTACAGAGAAATCATGTCTTGAAAAACCAAAAGAAAAATCAAAACAGAAAATTAGCAAGATGGCTCATCCAGTAAAGGTGTTTGCCATCAAGCCTGACAGCCTAAATTCAGTCCCCAGAGCCCACATAGTAGAAGGAGAAATTCAGGTCTCCAAGTGGTCCTATTACCTCTATATATGTGCTGTAGCACAAACTGGTGAGGCTTAGAGAGATGGCTCCACAGTTAAAAGCACTGGCTGTTCTCCCGGAGGACCCAGTTCAATTTCCAGCACCTACATGGCTCATTACAACCATCTGTAACTCTAGTTCCAGAGGATGCAGCACTCTCTTCTGGTTTCCCTAAGCACCAGACACACACATGGTGCACAGGCATACATGCAGGAAAAGCACCCATACATACAATAAAAATAAAATAAATTTTTTGGTGTAAGTCTTGTTGATTAATCACTAAAGTGGGAACTATCATTTGGGAAGTAAAACTAGATAACCACACATTTCCTTTTAAGATGCTATTTTCCCAAATCTAATTTAATAATATACCATGGCTTCATTCCAGTATAATTTTCTTAAGCAATATTGATTCTCCAAATGAACATCAGTGAAATGCATGTTTTCTATAAATACATAAGCATGGTACTTGTAATCATGGCACCTTTCTTTGCATTAAAGACTTCTTTTAACTTACATGACAGATTTGTAAGATTTAATGTGTTAAAAGGTAGCATATAATTAGTTTCTCCTCCTGTTTGGAACATAGAATTATAAAAGAAGACCTGCTTTGGTAAATTTAAACACTTGTTATATGTAATTTACTACTGCTGACATAAAAAAAACTACATAGCTCTTACCTCAAAACATAAAAGAGATAGCTTATTCTAGAGCCAAATGTGAGTGATGCAGATTTAGGTTGCTGCCAAACCCAAATTCCATATTCTAGTGTGGAAGTAGTTTCATAAAGTTCTTATGGTAACAGAAGAAAGTCATAAATGAAGACACTTTTTTCAAACCGTGGTGGTAGCGGGGCATAGCAAAGTGGAGAACCCTCTGCTCTCAGCCTCAGGTGCTGTCTGCTGACATTTTCAGCTTTTGTGGTGGTGTAAGCTAGGGAGTCTGTTGGTACTTCCAAGAAGACTCACCTTGTATACCCACGGATAAACAGAGGTAGGCAATAAGTAGCTATTAAGAAGACAAGATATTTGTAGTTAGGCTCTGGATCTGCAAAATTCCAGCCTTTCCACGATCATTGAAGTTTTAATCAGTCAGCCTTGTAGAGTGCAGCTTCTTTTTAGGAATGTTGGCTCATACATTGCTCATAGTTTCATTTTTGTTATTGATATAGAAGTTAGTTTCCCTCAGTGAATTTGTATTAACGTGACTTGTCATAAAAATGTTCAATTATAGGCAGAGTTTTTCATCGGTACCACCAGCCAACTCCCAAGTAACTACACAGACCTACTATTAATTATAAATGCTCAGTTTATAGCTTACGCTTGTTACTAACTAGCTCTTTCAACCTAAATTAACCCATATTTCTTACCTATGCTCTACCATGAGTCAGTACCTTCTTTCATCTTGTTTCTCTCTATGTCTCCTGGTGACTCCGCCCTCCTTCCTTGCACTGTCTTTGCCTGCAAGTCCTACTTAACCTCTACCTGCCTATTGGTCAATGGGAATAATACACATTTAGTGTACAAAAAAGATTATTCTACAGCACTCAGAGTTTGTATGACACTCTTCTTTTTAATAATCTCTTAAGTATGTGTCAAATTAGAATAATTTTCATATTCCTCAACAATAGTGGAAGTAATGTTAACTTTAGCATAGGAAAACAATATGAAAAGATGAAAGACTCTGAGACTTGGTGAGTTGGCTCAGCAGGTATAAAGGTACTTGCTGCCAAAGCTAATGATAGGAGTTCAGTACCTGAGACCCACACAGTGTGAGGAGAGACTCCTGTAAGTTGTCTTCTAGCTGCTACACATGAAATGTGGCATTTTGCACATGTACATATGCAAATCCATAAGTTAATAAATATTTAAAGATTCAAGAAGCTCCTATTAAATTATATACGAGTCAATGACTTTATACTGATTTCAACCCAAACTTGTAATGTCTTTGTTTTCTTCCCTAACATGAAAAGGTTACTAGATTTCACTTGGAAATGTTTGAGAATATACATTTGCATTTAATTTTTTTCATTGAGAGGGAAAGAAATAATTATGAAATTGGGACTATGTTTAAATTTTCAGGTGAGATGATCTAGGAGACACCTTAGATTACTTAGGAGGAAACAGTAAACCCAGACAAGCTACACTGTAGAATGGGAAGTTTGCTAAACTGCCTCCAAAATTAGGACTGAGATAATTATCAACATAGAGTCTATTTTTAAAGTAGGCATTTAGAAGTTTAAAAAGTGCCAGGTGGTGGTGGCACACACCTGTAATCCCAGTACTGAGGATGCAGAGGCAAGTGGAAATCTGTGAGTTCAAGGACAGCCTGGGCTACAGAGCAAGTTCCAGGACAGTCAGGGCTACACAGAGAAACCATCCCACCCCACCCCCAAAAAAAAAAACAAAAGGAAAGAAAGAATAATGCAGGAAATGCCCTATGGATTTTTCGGTACAACAGTTATGTTTCTATTTTTTTAGACCTCAGTTTAAAAATTCTACGGGAAGACAAAAAGTGTCCAGGGTCATTACATATTATTAAATGGTAAGTAAATTCTGTAAATTTGAATAGCATTTTTTTGTCATGACTGAAATTACCCATAAGACTTTATTTTGTAAAATCATTTCTTTAAACTACTTTTCTTAGTTCTCTTTCCTGGAAATTGTAGCAGCTATTCAGTATTTTAAACTATTGATTTAGTTTTAGAAGAAGATGAACTTATATAAAGAAAAATTCTGAATTTGATTATTCATCATGTGTACATCTGTGTACTAACATTGAATTGAAGCACTCTGTGCTTCAGAACTGCTTGCCTATTTTTATAATATTCCATAAGTATATGGAAAGACGTTAGGAGTTTTAAAAGGTAATTAAACAAAAGGCAAAATGATTGTTAATTTATATACTTCAAAACGTAAGTGCAAACTAATTATATACTTGGATTTATTTTTTGACTGTTCATGTTGCTCAAAGTGACACTGGATATTTATTTCTTAACAGGATTCAAGGTTGTTTTGATGCTTTGGAAAAGAGATACGTAAGAATGTTTTAAAATTCCCATCAGGATTTAAGATTCATCTTTTAAAAAAAGTTTAGACTTTTTATTTTGTAATGTTTAACAGTGTAATAGTACCTCCTTTGTGTTCACCAGTCATTTTTCTTTTATTTTTGTCTTTGTTGTCCTACTGATGCCTCCCTTAATATCAACTAGAAATGAAAGCTTCATCTCCTCTTTTATATACTCATATCTTTCTCAACCACAGAGTTTCCTCTGAAGTCACTGGACAAGATCCACAGGATGTGGGTTAGGGAAGACAAGAATCTGGTAGTTAGCAATTGAACATGTTCATAATAGTGGTAATTCAGTTTACCGATGGGAAAGGAAAAAATAGTTAAATAATGAACTTTTACTCATTTATTTTGATAGCGATAACTCATGCATATGATCTCTCATGCTTCTCTAGACAGTTATGAAGAGTGTGAAAAGCAAAGGCTCTAGGCCTGGTTGAAGAGATCAGATACATATAAATAAAATTGCTGCTATTATGCTGCCTTCACTTTTTCCCTGTGTCTTTACTCTTCAGTTCCAATTTAAGAAATGTTGAGGTGATTAAGCTTTTACTTTATTATTTAGTATAGTCATACATTCCCTATCGTGAGTGAACAGTTAGTATTCATGACTTATTCTATGTTGACCCACAGTACTGAGGGATACAAAGATAAAATGGGTAAGGGAAGGGCTTATAGACTGTGGCAGACGGTGAGTAGTGCTCATATGAGGGCTGATGATTAGCAGTTATACACTGATCTAGCTGTACCTGTTGCTAAACTATTGGTAGTACTTCTGTATCAATGGAAAATTGCTTTTAGAGTCCTTGTGAGAATTCCTACCAACACTTTTCTCCTTACCCCACCAGAGTTTCTTTTGAGAGTTGCCCAGACCAATTGAAAGAGTCTAAAAGTTGTTCATAGGAACTCAGCTCTAGAGCTAAGTTTTGCACCCTTTCTGAATGGCCAATACTTTTGTCAGACTGGACTTGATGTTTTCCATGTCAATTTGGTACTTCCATATAAAATGCAGAGATATTTTTATATCACCCTATCACAATACAAGTAACAGTACTACTCTGTGCATGCCAAAGGAAAGGTGGAGAATCTGTGCAGCAGGAAAGCAGAACAAAGGAGGGGTTCTACCTAGCAGAGCTTCAAGGGGAATCTTTAAAAGAAAGAATCTTTGGGCACAAGTTCAGGGCAGCTTCACACATCCCAATATAGTGCTGTGTCTTCAAGCTGTATCTCCAGCTTAAGAAACATTGACTATTGATCTCTAAAGCCTCTGAGCACTTGGATGAGTTGAGAAGGGTTTGAGGGTCATCACAGGGTTTAACAATTTATTAGCAACATTTCCAGAGTCAGTACAGTATAAATGGGCATTCTTGGACTGGAGAGATGGCTCAGTAGTTAGGAGCACTGGTTGCTCCTGGAGAGGACCAGAGTTCAGTTCTAATTCCAAGGGATCTAACAGTCACACACATGGTGCACATACATACATGCAGGCAAAATGATCATGCACATAAAAATATAATAATAATAATAACAATAACAGTAATAAAAGAGCAGCATTCTGCAGTCAGTCTGAGGTGAATTCAGATTTTGTTATTTACATCTTTGTGACTTTGGACAAACAATCTACCACAGTACCTTAATTTATCAACAAAAATGTTATATAAAAGAACCTATCTCTTAAGAGTTATTTTGAAGTTGAATGAGTTAGAGGTGGGCAAGATGGTTCATCAGATAAAGGTACTTGTCACACAAGCCTGGGACCTACTGATCCTTGGAACATATGTAAAAAATGAAAGGAGTAAATTGACTCCACAAAATTGTCCTCTGACTCTTACATGCCATGGAATGTGTGCCCCAAGTACATTTTATATACACATGCAACAATAATAAATGAAACTTTTAAATTAAAAGAATACTAAGTAAGTTAGTAATAGAAAACAGTAGTTGAACTGTCCTAGGAACATCAAAACACAAACTCGGGGTTGGAGAGTTGGTTCAGTAGTTAAGAATATTGGTTGTTCTTCCAGAGGACCAGGGTTCAAGGCTAGCACCCAGCTGGCTAAGCATCTGTAACTAGTTCCAGGGGATCTGATACCCTCCTGTGGCCTCTGGGGGCAATGCATGCACGTGCTACACTGATATCCATGCAAACAAAACACCTACACACTTAGTAATAAGTCTAAAAGATTTAAGAATAGACGAAACCTCAGATACAGACGTGTCCAATCCACAGCCTGTGGGCTATGTAGCCCAGGATAACTATGAGTGTGTTCCAATGCAAAATTGTAAACAATAAAACATGAGACTTTTGTGATTTTCTTTTTTGTAATTCCGTTACATGATTTTCCAGTGTAAACTTTGTAGATGACAATGCCATTTCACAGTATCAAAAAGTTGGACCTACCTGATGACTCTTAAATAGTATTTACATTATTTTTATTGTTAGTATTTTATAACTTTTGTCATAGGATCTTATTGCAGGGAGTATAAAGTAGTTCAAAGGGAAATTGAGGCAGAGAGATCACAATCAAGGCCATTCATGCTGTGTGGCAAGACCCTGTTTCTTTAAAAAAAAAAAAAGTAGTTTCAGTTAAAACAAGTTTGAGTAGCTAGAGCCTTTGGACTAATTATGAAATTCTGGGTACTTTATGGTTTATAGTAAATTGGAATTCTTTAATATAGGCATATATATTAAAGTAATTCTTATAAAAAGGAACTATATAATTTCCTCCTTATTCCCACTCTCATCTCTTACAATTACTGCCCACTTTCCACACTAAATTCTTTCAGAAACTGAAGCCTGATCATGTTATTCTTTATGCCTAAAAATTTTCCAAGAATTTTAAAATAAAGTTTAAAGTCCTTCAAATGATGAAGGCCTGAATAATCCCAATTTGCCTTTCCAAGATACCCCACCATGTTCAAGCTACAGAAAGCTCCAGAGCATATGAGTTCCTTTTATCTTTACACATACTGCTCCTCTTGTCTGAACATTCTCTTCCAGACCCTGTGCATATGTTCTGCCTAACTCCAATTTGTCCTGCAGCTAAAATTGTCCACCATTCAGTGTTCTCCTTATACCCTGTGTTGTGTTTTCACAGCAAAAGAACATGAGTGTAATGGTGTAGCTATGTGATTTTTTTCTTAGTATTTGTCTTCATTGCTAGTCTGCATGTTTACTGAGATTAGTAGCCATATTTTTTAATGGATCAATAAACTATTAATAGCTGTTTTACTGTGTGGTTATAAAAATCAGTTATGTGCCAAAATAGCCACATGGTGGCACTAAAGTTTTAGTCAATTGCTATGGAATTATAGTCCTCAAATTTTTATCTCATGAGTGTATATATATATATGTCATATATGTGTCTATATATTCAAAAATTCATTAAAGCTGAGAAAATGTCTTTATAGTTGTATGAGACAGGAATTTGTAAGATACCCCAGACTTTCTAATATTTTTGCCTTGCCAGATTAGTTTCAAACTACCTTTTAGAGATACTTGTGGTACATTTATTTTTGAGCAATAATGAATTGTTTTGCATATCTTTGGTTCCCAAATTAAAAATAACAACTTTTTGGTATCCTCTGTCTCAGTAGCCAGTGTTTGTAATAGACATTGTTTGAATGAGTAAATTATTAGTTCCATTTTCTAGCCTTCTGAATATGCTACTCAAGTGTTTGGGACCTCCTTAAAGTCATATTTGAATTAGTCTCTATCAGAAATGACAATAAAATAGTGTAAGCATAAAATAACGCAGTTTTCTTTTCTCTTGAAGCTTCACATGGCAGTGCTAACAGTAAGTATACACTTGGAAACCAGGTCTCTGTCTCTAAATTGATTTCCAGCAAGTGAAGCACTTAGACAGTAACCTTTCCCTTTCTCCATTTTTGTGATTTATGGCATTATAACATTTAAATATTGGATATATCAGCTGGGTGGTGGCGGTGTGTGGCTTTAATTCCAGCACTCAGGAAGTAGGGGCAGTCGGCTCTCTGTGAGTTCAAGATAAGACTGGCCTACAGAATGAGCTCTGACAGCCAGAGCTACACAGAGAAACCTTGTCTCCAAAAACAAAAACACACTAACAAAAAATTGGACATATCAGAGCTTTAATAAGATATTATAAATCTTCAATGTATTTCTTTGGCATATATGTTATGTAAGAGAACGTATCAGAATATAGCTATTAACACTTAGGATTTCTTTTTATTATGTAATAGATTCCAAGTTTTTTTGCTTTTGAAGTTTTGTGGACTATTTTTAAAAAGTTTTATATACCCATGGGTATAAAATGATGGTAGAAAATTGAGGTACCATTGATAAAATATTAATTATTTAGGTATTTTATGGCTCAGTCATATTAATTACTGATACTTTACACCAATTTTAAGAAACTTCTACGCAAGCCGGGCGTTGGTGGCGCACGCCTTTAATCCCAGCACTCGGGAGGCAGAGGCAGGCGGATCTCTGTGAGTTCGAGACCAGCCTGGACTACCAAGTGAGTTCCAGGACAGCCTCCAAAGCCACAGAGAAACCCTGTCTCGAAAAACCAAAAAAAAAAAAAAAAAAAAAAAAGAAACTTCTACGCATTTAGTATTAATAGCTAGTTCTAAAGATTCCATGTTCTTGCTGGATATGGTGGCACATGCTTTTAATTCCAGTACTTGGAGGCAGAGGCAGGCGGATCTTTGTGAGTTAGAAGACAGTTTGGCCCACAGACAGCCAGGAATACATGGAAAAACCATGTCTTGAAGAAACAAATAGCAAACAAAAGATTCTGTGTTTTTTAAGATTTATTTATTTATTATGTATGCAACCAGATCTCATTATGGATGGTTGTGAGCCACCATATGGTTGTTGAAAATTGAACTCAGGACTTCTGGAAGAGGAGCCTGTGCTGTTAACCTCTGAGGCATCTCTCTAGTCCCTGATTCTGTGTTCTTAATAAAATAAGCTTTAATCCTATCTCTGGCTTGAAATATGCCCAGATAGTACTTAGTTAACAGCACAAATTGAACCATTTACATAGACAATGTATTCAATGAGAAGTAATCTAGTAAATTTTGGAAATTAAGAGCTTTATATTTTCCCTTAAACAGCTATATACAAATCCCAAGGAACCTGAGGTAAGATGGTAGTATATAAATGGTAATGTATGTATATTATATATAAGTATGTTTGTCTGAGTTGAGGCTGTAGATTATGTTATTAGACTACTGCATGAATAGAGCAATTAATTTATCATGAACTTTATATTTAATTATTATGTGATCTTTTAGAAACTATGTAAGAATGCTAGAAAAAGGAAAAACAACACTGATTAGAGATAAGGCTATTCTGTAACATGTCAACATTAATCATAAATGTGTAATCGTCATACTTTATTATTTAATTATTTCTTTTTATGATCTTTTGGAAAAATAGAAGATACAGCATTATTCTGAACTCTTTAACCCCTGAATTCTCCCTGTTGTTTTTAAAGACTTTTTGAGAGCATTAGGTTGTAGTTTTGTTTTGTTTTGTTGACTTTTTTGAGACAAGGTTTCTCTGTGTAGCCTTAGCTGTCCTGGAACTAGCTCTGTAGACTAGGCTGGCCTCGAACTTGCTTCCCAAGTTCTGGGATTAAACGTGTGCACCTCCACCCTGCGCTTAAGATCATTAGTTCTTTACTCCGATCTTTAGATTCCCTAACTTGCATTAGTTCTTTACTCCGATCTTTAGATTCCCTAACTTGCTCAGTGAATCCTGCACCTTGCTGCCTGCTAGTATTCAAGTCTTTTGTGAAAGACTCTTCAGCTCGCTGTCTGAACTAACTTTTTTCTTTTCTAAAGTTCTTTCCCAGCTGAGCCCCATGGTTTAACCCTATCAGTTGATTTATATATTTCCTAAGAAGATTAGGAGTTCTTGAGGATGAGGTGTTGTTTTCTGCCTTACAGAGTGAATATTATAGTCTTAAACACCTAACAGTCATTTGTGCCGCTTTCATGACTTTTGTACCTGTGACACAGAGATGGAATGAGAAATCGTTTGTTTTCTCATTCTATTTTGTCTCTCTTTCCTAGTTTTCTTTTCTTTTTTCCCCTTGCTTCAAATTTTCCTTCTCTAAGCCAGTGGATTTAGTCTAACTGGTGATATTCAAGACTAAATTGTTTTTAAGTCCTTAGTATTTTCTATTTGCAAGATTACAAATAACCATGCAAGCAAGGGGAGGGGGATTGCTGCACACAAGTGAATGCCAAGTCATTAATGCCCATACTGGTCTTAGGTTCTGTTCCTTGAATCTCTTTCCCCAACCCTCTGTTTTTAGAACACACTGTGTAGCTGTAGATCACCTTGAACTTTGTATCTTCCTGCCTCCACCAAGTGCCCAGTTGTTTATGTGAGAGGGTTTGAGATTATAAGGTATCACATGCCTGGTTTATTGGGTCCTGGGGATGGAACCCAGTCTTTGTGCATGTTGGATAAGCACTCCTAACTTTTTCTCCTGTTTAGTTTCAAAATGATTTTTTTTTATTAGGATTGAGAAGTTTCCCAAACTTCTCTTCCCAAACAAAAACTTCCTGACAACCTGTTAGAAGATTGAAATCTGGTTAATTTTGGTTCATAATGTTATTTATTTGCAATTTTAAAAGAATTAATAAGGGGTTTTAAAAAAATAATAGTTTTAGAGGTGATAAAATTAAGCTTACCTTTAGAAAATCTGGCAGAATGAGAATAAAGCTGTTAAATTAGTGCTAGCACATACTGAAATGTGGGAGAGTATTAATAAGGCATGTAAGCCAAATAAGTCTTAATTTGTAATAAGTCATTAAGAATTATATGTATGAATTTCATTAGACTAGCAATCTTACTATTTCATGGTCTAATCCTTTGTTCCTATTGGCGTTGATCAATGTACAATTTTAATTGCCTATTTCAGGAACTGAATAATAGGTGATCCTAAATATGTGTTTAGAGTCTTAAAAAAAGTTTCATTATTAGAGACAAGGTGTGGTAGCACACCTAGAATTGCAGCACTCAGGAGGCTGAGGCAGGAGGATCATGAATTTTGGCTAACCTGGGCAGCATAGCAAAACTCTGTGTCAAGAATAATTCCTTATGAAACTCTACTTAAAGATGAACTGTAATTGTGTTCATTTTGTACTTAGCACTGTCACAGACATAAATGGTCAGACCAAGTCTCTGATCTTTAGATGCTAATATTTTTTATCATTTTTTAAAATTTTAAATAGCTTGTTTTACATGTCAATCCCAGTTCCCTCTCCCTCCCCTCCTCCCGCACTCCCCTTCCCCCCCTCCCTCCCACCCTATTGCCAAATCCTTCCACATAGGGGATATCAGAGTCTGTCATTTTACTCTGGGTAGGGTCCAGGCACTTCCCTAAGAGTCCAGGCTGAGAGAGCATCCCTCTTTGTGCTATAGGCACACGAAGACTGTTTGTATATCAGGGGTAGACACTGATCCACAGCTCAGGGCCCCATAGGTTGCCCAGGCCTTCTTGCTGACACTCACATTTGGGGGGGTCCAGATCAGTCCCATGCTGGCCTCCCCACTGTCAGTCTGGGGTCCAAGAGCTCTCCCCTGTTCAGATCAGCTGTCTCTGCTGGTTTTGCCAGCCCATTCTTTGCCAATTTGCTCATCACTCCTCTCTCTCTGTCACTGGGTTCCTTGGGTTCAGTTCAGTGCTTGATTGTGTGTTTGCCTCTGCTTCCATTAATCACTGGATGAAGGCTCCCGGATGGTTATAGACATCAAGTTCATTATCAGGAATGGGCACTCGAGGTGGTCTCTCCACTATTGCTTAGCTTGCCAATTGGTGTTATCCCTTTAGATCACTCGAGGTCGCTCTGGTGCCTGATCTGTATTCCATCCTATGATTCCCTCTTCCCCCATTCTACCCCCACCCCCTCAACTTCCTGTTCCCCCATGACCAACTCTCTTCCTCTTCACCCCCTCTCTTCTTCCCAGGTCCCACTCCCCACCACCCCTCGCCGTGTTCCCCATCCATTCAGGGGATCTTGTCTCCATCCTCTTCTCTTGGGTACTATGCATATATGCATATCTTTTAGGTTCTTTCCTGTTTCTCAGACTCTCTATCAGTGGAAGTGCAAACTGGCACTATCCTGATCCATGTCTAAAATCCATATATGAGTGAGTACATACCATGTTTGTCTTTTTGCGACTGGGTTACCTCACTCAGGATGGTTTCTTCCAGTGCTATCCATTTCCCTGCGAATTTCAAGATTCCATTGTTTTTTTCTGCTGAGTAGTACTCCATTGTATAAATGTACCACATTTTCTCTATCCACTCTTCAGTTGAGGGGCATCTAGGTTGCTTCCAGGTTCTGGCTATTACAAATAATGCTGCTATGAACATAGTGGAGCAGATGCCCTTGTTGTATGAACTTGCCTCATTTGGATATATGCCTAAGAGTGGAATTGCTGGGTCTAGTGGTATATTAATTCCCATTTTCCTGAGAAATCTCCATACTGATTTCCAAAGAGGCTGTATGAGTCGGCACTCCCACCAGAAGTGGAGGAGTGTATTTTATGAGGAATGATAAACAATAAGTAAATAGAAATTAGTCAAAATAGTTGAAAGTAGTAATGCCATGATGAAAGTTTGAAAACTTGTTGTCCTGGTCAGTGATGAGGTAAAGATCAGAAAGATCAGAGAAAGAGGGCTTGTAAGGCTGTTTTAGATTGACACAGCCATAGACAACATCTCCATTGGACCACTGTTGGAGTCATTTTTTTTTTCAGATCTGTGAAAGGTACCAGTGTATAACAGGCAGCACAGCACTGTGGTTAGCATGGTATGTTCTGGGGTCAGATTGCAGCTCTACCACATATGAGCTTCGTCAATAATGAGAACAATAACACCTACATCAGAGTGTTGGCAGAATGTTTCAGAATATAGACACACTGAGACCCTAAGACAGGAAGTATTTATAGACAGAAAAGATACACTGTGTCTGGTGTGTAAAAGGGAAAATTGTAGAAGAGGTTAGTAGAGGACAGATAAGGAGGGTGTCATAGATTTTATTCTAAGGACAGTTGAGAAGCCAGTGGAGAGGGATTTGAGGAAAGGAGTGGCATGGTCTCATTTGTGCATCAAAGTCTGTTTTTATTGTAGTCCTCAGAATTGAACTGAGGTCTTACCTATGCCCTACCCCATCACAAGCCTTTTTTAAAAAAAAACATTATTTTGAATTGGGTATCTCAGTATGTTATTCAGGTTGACCTTAAATTGTGAATTCCCTGCCTCAGCATACTGAGTAGCTGGGGATGAAAGCATGTGTAATCTATACCTGACTTGATTTGTATTTTCAAAAACTCTTGGCTAGAGAACAGAGAATAAAGATCACATGGATTTATGATTCACTTTGGAGACAGACTGAGAAGTCTTTCCAGTGGATTGGAATGTAGAGTGAAAGGCAGCCTGAACATGTTTGAAGTTATTAAGAATTAACACTTTTAAATAATCATTCTTTAAATTTGTATGCACTCGTGTCTACTTGTCTGAATGTGCATCATGTGTGTGCAGTGCTGTTAGACTCCAGCAGTGGGTGTCAGATCCCCTGGAACTGGAGTTCCAGGTAGTTTTGAACCTCCTGATGCAGGTGCTTGGAATTGAACCCAACTCCTCTGTAAGAGTAATAAGTGTTCTTAGCCTCCACCCTCAGGATTAACATCTTTTGTAAAACAGTTATATCTTTACAATAAAGTAATCAGTTTAGGAATCAAATAATAAAAAATTAGCAACTACTTAAAGATCTTTATTTACAAAATAAATTCTCATGGTATTTAGAGGCTAGAGTTGACTAGAAACGTGGGCAGGCAAGAAGAATAGGCATTGTTTACTTGACAGTTATACATATCACTGACTAAGAGGACACTGTGTATCTAGCCCATCTGGAGGGAACTTGTTGCTTTTAGGCACCTGCAGTCATCTCTAATCTGACCTATCTCTTCTATTGTATTCACAAGGCAGCCTTCTGAGCTTGGTTTGATTTTTTTCCAAATAGGCAGACCAGTTATAAAAGCAATTCTCTTTTAAAATTAATTTATTGTAACCAGTCTTTTAGGTTCAGGCAGTATAAGCTAATTTCCCAGGAGCTGCTCACCTGTGATTAAGTTGTATGGTAAAGTATAACAGCAGATCTATGAGACCAAATCTTAGAGAAAGGTAACAGGAGCATTAAAACTGTTCTTGGTCGCTCCAACATCCTCAGTTCCACATGGTCAAGGATTTACTCTTAACCAGATGGATGAAGTTTACCTTCTGTGTTCTGATTTCAGCTTATATTCACTCTATCTGCCTTTAGCACCTTCAGCTCTGTCTACAAACTACATAATTTATATGGGCAAAACATTATTTTAAGCAGAAGTCTTTTAAATTAATTTTATTTTATTTCTGCATGTATGTATGTGTGTGAGTGGCAAGGGTGTGGGTATCAGAGGGCAACTTTGAGGAGTCAGTTGTTCTTCTACTGTCTGTCCCTGGGGTGAAACTTGGGTTGTCAGACTTGCAATGTGAAAGTCCTTTAATCTCTGGGCCATGTCAGTGGCCTGAAAGAACTAGTTTATTCTCAGTAGTATATGTTTCTTATGAGGAAATTTGTTCTCTATATTCTACCACACCTTTACCAGTTATGATAGCAGATAGCAGTAATGGGTTTTATTGCAGGAAATAACACTTGATGCCATAAACCATAGTTCCTTTTTCCATTTTTAAAATTCCTGTTGCCATTTACTCACTCCTTCCCTAAATCACCACAATGGCTTTCTAGCAATTCTTATGACTTCCCTGTCTGTATTCATTCATTCATTCATTTATTCTTCCTTTTTCTTTTTTCTTCCTTTTTTTTCTTGAGACAGGGTCTTTCTATGTAGCTCTGGTTGTCCTGGAACATGCTGTGTGGACCAGTCCGGCCCCTAACTCACAGAGATGTGTCTTTCTTTGCCTCCCAAGTGCTGGAATTAAAGGCATGTGCCACCATACTTGGTCCTTCCTTGTCTATCTTAGTCACTGTACTTTTGCTGTGAAGCAACACCATGACCAAAGAAACTCTTACAAGAAAAAGCATTTAATTGGGGTTTGCTTATAGTTTCAGAGGTTTAGTTTGTTATCATCATGGTGAGGAGCATGCTAGCATGCAGGCAAGTGCTGGAGCAGTAGTTGATAGTAACATCCTGATCTGTAGGCCAAGAAGGGGTTGTGGGAGACAGATAGACAGACACTAGGCTTGGTGTCACCAGTGACACACTTCCTCCAACAAGGTCACCCTCCTAACCCTTTCAAATAGAGTTCTGCTCCCTCTGGCGACTAAGCATTCAAACATAAGAGCTTATGAGGGCCACTGTCTGCATTTTTAAGGTATACAAGTGGTCAGGTCCTGGAATCAATGACTTATTTAAACCTTCAATAGACTTTGATGAACTTAGAAAAAAATCCCAAACCCTTACTACTGTCAACAAAGTTTCACAACTACACCTCTCATTTCCATCTAGGTGGCTTCTTTTTAGATTCTAAAAAAATATATTTCTTCTCAATTAAGAGTTTCTGCATTATTGTTCTATCTACCTGAGGCACTGGCCCATAGGTTTGTATATTTCAGAATACCACCCCTTCAGGAAAATCTCCCTGTCCCCTCAGAATACCACCTCTTCAGGAAAGTCTCCCTGTCCCCTCAGAATACCACCTCTTCAGGAAAGTCTCCCTGTCCCCTCAGAATACCACCTCTTCAGGAAAGTCTCCCTGTCCCCTCAGAATACCACCCCTTCAGGAAAGTCTCCCTGTCCCCTCAGAATACCACCTCTTCAGGAAAGTCTCCCTGTCCCCTCAGAATACCACCTCTTCAGGAAAGTCTCCCTGTCCCCTCTAACTGTAGCTCTTCTTTCTCTTCATTATGTACTTCCTACCACAGCGTCCGCTTTGTATTGTTCATGGCACACATTTTATATGAAATTATCTTATTTTCTTTGTTTACTGGCTAGAATCTTTGCCGATTCTCTGGAAAAAAAAGAAATCTTTTCTGCCTTGTTCACCTTCTAGCTCAAAGTAGACATTTGATAAAGCATTCATTACATGAATGAATGATTCCTCAACTGGTAGAATTTAATGGTGATATTTGCTGCCTAACTTATTTTTAGCTGAGAGGAGGGAGATTAAGTCATCATGCCTGGAACCATTACTCCTGGGTAAAATAATGCTGTGAGACAAACAAACAGGAAGCATAGGGGGTATTAAGTGAAATGTTCCTTTATATGAGGTAAAAATCTGTTTTTTTTTCAAAATTAACTTCTTTCTCTGTTCTCTTTGATTTTTTTCTAGAAAGTGACTGAGATATACCAATTCAAATTCAAATACACAAAAAAGGGAACCACTATGGACTTTGACAGGTAGAATCTAATTGTTTAATGAATGCAAGAAATGTATAGAAGTGAAGTAAATATAAACTTCTATATGGCCAGAGGAGACTCTGTCCTAAATCTTTTTGTCATTTCTCATAAGCCCTATAAAACACCACTATTATGAGTAGAAATGATAATAATTGTTTTAATGTCTGAAGTCTATAGACTAAGCTGGTAGGAGTAGAGGCAATGGTGGATGTCAGGCTCTTAAAATTATATTAATAAAGGGGCTGGAGAGATGGGGCTCAGTGGTTAAGAAAGTACTCTTGCAGAGGACATAAACTTGATTACAAGCACCTACCTCAGGCCATTTACAACTGTCAATAACTCCAGCTCCAGGGGAGTCACGCCTCTGAGGATGCCTGCATTTGGGCACATACCCACATGCAGACACACCTACACATAACTAAAAATAATCATAAATAAATATTGAAAAAACAAACAAGATTTAATTGAAAATGTATTAATAAGGCTGTCAGCATGATGTTGGGTAAAGAACCCATATGACTGTCTCTGGCTATTATTCCAGTGACTCTGTGGCTATGTTGATTTTTTCCGTCTTCAATACTGGCAGATTGAGCCTGAGGGAACTGAAACTCCTGGACTATTTGCTTGATGTACAAATACTGTCACCTGCTTATCCATACACATAATATTTCTTGTGTGCCACTCTTTGAGAAACTCACATGCACTGTGTTTTCCTATCAAGTCTTAAAATCCGTGTTTTAGATACAACAACAAAGAACAAAAGCAAGGAAGACCCTCATGCACATGGAGATGTTTGTTAAGGACAACATTCTTCTCCCAGAAGCTTTGGCTTCAGCCAACAGGCATGGAGAACTAAGGACTGCTGATGAAATGGAATAGAAGTAGATGAAATGTTATAAAAAGACTGCTAGAAAGGGGCTTCAAATGGGGGAGCTTCAAAAACGCTGCCTTTTATCTAGTTCTCCTTGAGGATTTCTTTCCAATACTGTCTTAGGGTCTCTGTTGCTGTGAAGAGGCACCATGATCGCAGCAACTCTTATGAAGGAAGCATTTAATTGGGTGGCTCACTTAAAGTTTCAAAAGTTCAGTCCATTATCATGATGGTGTGCAAGCAGATGTGGTATTGCATCCTGTGTCTGAGAGTCCTGTATCTTGCAGGAAATAGGAAGTTGACTGAGATATTGGGCAGTATCCTGAGTATAGGAAACTTCAAATCCTCCCCCACAGTGATATACTTCCTTCAACAAGGCTACACTACTCCCAACAAAGCCACACCTCCTAATAGTGCCACTTCCCATGAGATTATGGGGGCCAAATGCATTCGAACTACCACAAATACTTCCTTAATTATCCTCTCATTTGTGAGACTTGCAGGAAGTACTCAGATATAAGAAGAAAAGTCAGTTCCAGAAAAGAAATTTAAAGTATTAGCCACATTTAATTAGTATTTATATACTATTTTTTGAGGCAGCATCTCATGTGGCTCAGGCTGACCTTGAACTGAACCAAGCCCAGCTGCAGACCGTGTATTTCACTCTTTTCTCCCCACATAAACAGTTGCCCTTACTCTCTAAAACTCCAATATACATATTTTTGACAACCAGATTAATGTTTTTTTGTTTGTTTTAAAGACTCATGTTGAAAGGCAAACATTTAGTAAAGCAGATGGGTAAATCTTTCAGATACTAAGGAGGTGAGAAATTAATAGATAGTATAAATTTCTAGAAAGATTGCTTAAATGTGGGTCCTGAATATTATCTTCTAATGTGTCCTGGGACTTTCATTCTGGCTGGTTAAAAATCCTGGTAGACAAAACCTTTAAGTTGTTAGAAATCGGTAGAGGAGTTAAAATATCCACTTAATATATGTCTACTTTGTGACTTCTCTGCTGCCTCCAAAAATCAGGGATTGACCTAATATTTTAATTACTTGGGATGATTTTTTCATTGCTTAGTGCCAATATGTTCAAGGCACTGCAAATACAGTTGTAGCTTGTCCTTAAAGGTACTCAAAATGTGAGACTAATTGGGAAGAAAACTTTGGAGGGAAATGAAGATTTTGAATTCATTTATTAGTTCAGCAAATATTCATTGGGTAACTAGAGATCGAACCTAGTACTGTAGAGATGAAAGAGTCAGCCATTCATAGTCTATATGGGAACAAATAATTATTCTGGGGGAAGGTGAAGAGCCTTGAGCTAGGTAGGTGCTAGGGGAGCATTGGAAGCAAAGCAGAGAGCACAGTGCAGCTGAAGTGAATAGCATTTTCAAATGCATGTGGTGGAAAAACTGGATAGTAGCTGCAGGAGAGGGTGGAGGCAAAAGAAAAATTAGTTGTACATACACCACTGCCTGCATTGATTGAAGGGGATGGATATGATAGAAGAGTTTTAAGCAAGAAGGTGACATGAACAGACCTTCCTTTTGGGAGTATTAATTTGTGGAGAATGTCTTGTAGTGTAGACAAAAAGAAAGAAGAATAGATGCTTTGGTACAATCATATGGCAAATAAGTGTAGAGCTAGTGACTGATTTCATGCTTGGGGAGCTGCAGAAATGTCCATAAGCTTATCTCACAAATGGGCTAACTGACCTAGAATGTGTGCAAATGACTTGACCGAGGTCATTCAGCTGGTTAACAGTACAGCTGATATTAGATGCTAGGTTACCTAATTACAAGTCCATTGTTATGAGATGTGGTTATTTGAAAGCCAAAAATTTAAAAATGATCATATTTAAAATACTTTAGGGTTGTTATTCACAAATACTTTGCCATATACATTTCAAAAAGTACATCATTCCCTTAAGTTACCTCTTAAAATTTGTCTACAAAATGTTCTGATGTTTAGTTTATTAGATGACATAGCCAGTAGTTGTACTGTTTTGGAGCATATTGTAAATATTATACATGATTGAAATTGAAAAGTGCCACTTTTCTATGATTATAGTAGTAGTACAAGCTTTGAAAGTGGGACAAACAGTGAAGATATTAAGAAAGCCTGTTCCCTACTGATCCGCCAATTGTATATACTGATGCAGAACCTTGGACCCCTTCCTAATGATGTTATACTTACCATGAAACTCCATTATTATAATTCAGGTAGGTAGAGAGATATCTTTGGTCAATTCCTTCTTAAGTGCTAAGTGATGCTGTATATGAGTAGAAGGATTTTATAAGCATCTGAAAGATGTTTGTTACTATGTATGAAATATTATTGTCACTTATGCTATTGAAACTTAGTTTGCAATATGTTTTGTCCTTCCTTCAGTGACTCCATATGATTACCAACCCCCTGGCTTTAAAGAAGGGGTGAACTCACACTTCCTCCTATTTGATGGGGAGCCTGTGAGCCTTCGAATGGGTTCAGTCTCCTCTGGCTTTCACAGCATGAAAGTAAAAGTCACAACAGAGGCCACTAGAATGCTCAGTGGGGAGAACAGTCCTGCCCAGGAGACCGGCACTACTGAGATAGCTCATCAGGGGCTTGACTGTGATGAGGAAGAAGAGGACTGCAGCAGCCACGTAAGGCCAAGTTTTAGTGATCCTTCATTGCTTCAGTTAAACACAGTTGACATTTTTAAGTGTGTTCAGGTCATGTCACACTAACAGAGTCCAGTGGACCATGTGAGGTATGAAAACTGAAACAAAACTAGCCTCTGACGTCAAGCACTTTTTAGTAAAAAAAAAAAAAACCCACAGTCTACTAGAAGGAAATGCATGGTGTTAGATTGTCTAGCAATAAGAAAAAATCCCCAATGTGTTTTATTTTCTATTAAAGGTACCTATATATTTATTTTTCCATATGAAAGTAATATATTTTTAATACTTAAATATTCTAAGTATTTGATATGTTCATACTCAATAGAAGTATACACTAACTCCTGATTACTATAGTAACTGGGCATGAGGAGGTTAGGGAAGAAAAATTTTACTGATTAATCTGAATCAGAGGGGAAAAAAAAATGAAACCAACGGCCATGACAAGAATTGTGGTTTGATCAGTGAGGAGAGCTGAGGGGTTGGTGGACTTGCAGCCAGTGGGGCTGATGGGTTGAGCTTAGAGCCATTGACTTTGCTTGTTTCTGTAGAGACTTGAAGCTGAGGACTTGGCAATTGTCTGAATAATGTTTGCTGTGTGGTGACATTGTAGTTAAAGGATTCTGAAACAAAAACATTTTCAAGCTGTTTAGTAGGAAGGGATACTATAAAAACAGTTAAGGAGGTATTTTAGGATAACTTTTTTGTTTTTTGCCTTTGAATCCTACATTAAAAAGATGACTATAAAGGCTGGAGAGATAGCTCAGTGGTTAAGAGCACTGGCTGCTTTTCCAGAGGTCCTGAGTTCAATTCCCAGCAGCCACATGGCAGCTTACAACTGTCTAACTCCAGTTCCTGGGGATCTGACACCCTGTTCTAGCCTCTGTGGGTACCAGGCATGCACATGCTGAACAGACATACATGCAGGCAAAACACCAAGACATAGAATAATAATATTAATAAGAATAATTACAGAAAAAAGTATGCTGGGAGCTTCTGTAAATACCTTCCAAATATTTAATTCAGTATTGTATTTAGTATATTGAAAGGAGGGAGGCCATAGTCTCAACTCAATATGACAAATGTAGCTAAACAATAGGGTTTTTGTCTTTTTAGTTCTTTCACAATGTCAGGCATGAAAATAACTAGATTCTGGTGTGATTTTTTTCTTTTGATTCTGTACCAAGGGATAAGTAGCTAACACAGAAAAACTAATAATAACATAGCAACAACAGCAGTAATAGTGATTAAGAAAAGAATGAGAATGTTTTAGATGTTTCTTTTGAGAAAATATTTAGAGCTGAGTGTGATGGCGTACACCTTTAATCCTAGTACTTGGGAGGCAGAGGCAGGGGGATCTCTATGAGTTCAAGGGCAGTCTGGTCTACATAGTAAGTTCCATAACAGCCAAGGCTATATAGAGAAACCTTATCTCAATAAAAAAGGAAGAAAGAAAATTTTAAAGGGATTGGATGAATGGCTCAATGGTTAAGAGCTCATACTTATTTCGTAGAAGACCTGAATTTCATCTCCATCACCCATGTTTGGTAGTTCACAACCACCATTATCTTCAGCATCAGTGGGCTCTGTCACCTGCAACCTCCATGAGCACCTGCCCTCATATGCACATACCTATATATGCACATATCCTTCATATGTGTGTGGATGTGTGTATGGATGGGAATACTTTCTATAAAGGACACACATAATTAAAAATAAAAGAATAACTAAATAAGAGGCAGGAATGGTTCTACCTGCCTCAAACATGAGGGGCAAAGTCAGGAATAACAGAGGTTCAAGACCATATACATGTATGTTTAAGATCAGCCTGGGCTATCTGAGACCATGCTTCAGAAAACCAAAAGGAAAAAAATAAATCAGATTATCTTTCTCTTTTGCCAAATAAATGTAAGCAGGACAACCTGACAGGGGAAACTATATTTACAAGAATCTGGACTTCATAGTAAACTTAGTTGATGCAGTTCCTCTCTAAGTGATCCATTTATTTTAGAGAATATAATAAAATTCCTACTGACATTTTCCCACTAAACAGTTTTATTGTTTTTCTTCCTAGAAAGTATTCACATTCATACACACATTCACAAAAATACATGGAACTTTACCTTTACATTAAAACCAACAAAAGTTTTTTTTAGAAAGTTCTCTCTCTCTAGTTCTGACAGTTCCTCCTTATAATTTTACCCTCTGAGAATATCTATATAAACATATGTAGAAGTAATCATACTCAAGTACTCTGATTTCTGCCTTTTGCTTGACTATCAAAAATGTGATCTCATTATTGTGCTTATTTCTTTCATTTCCAATGCTGTTTCCAATGCTCTGTTTGTTTGTTTGGGGTTTTGTTTTTAATTTTTGTTGCTATTGAGACAGAATCTTGATATGCAGCCCTGATTGACCTGGAACTTGCTCTGTGGCCCAGGCTGTCATAGAACTCATGGGTACCTGCCAGTTTTTGCCTCTCTAGTGCTGGGATTGTGTTTGTACCATTATACTCTGATTGAGCCTTGCTTTTGTTTTTTGAGACAGACTCTGTGTTTCCCAAGCTAATCTCAGTCTATGGGAACATGCTTCAGCTTCTCAGGTATTGGAACCAGAAATAGGTGCCACTAAGCCTGGCTAGTATTCTATAAGTTTTTCTTTCTTCTTTTTTTTTTTTTTTCGAGACAGGGTTTCTCTGTGGCTTTGGAGGCTGTCCTGGAACTAGCTCTTGTAGACCAGGCTGGCCTCGAACTCACAGAGATCCGCTTGCCTCTGCCTCCCGAGTGCTGGGATTAAAGGCATGTGCCACCAACGCCCAGCTTTTTTTTTTTTTGAGGGTGAGGTCTTTCTTGTATAGATATTGCAGTCTGTTGCCCTGGAACTCACAGAGATCTGCCTGCCTCTGCCTCCTGAGTGCTGGGATTAAAGGCGTGCACCACATTTACATGCATACTTTCCCCTGCACACCCCAAAGAGTATCTATAGGGAATGCACATAGTTTTAGGCTTTGTCTTAGTCACTGTTCTGTTGCTGTTAAGGGACAGTATGAGGTGTCTCTGTGAAGAGACAGCTTATAAAAGAAAGCATTTAATTGAGGGGCTTGCTTACAGTTCCAGAAGGTTAGTCCATTATTATCATGGCAGGGAGCATCATGGCATACAGGCAGACACTGGAACAGTATCTGAGAGCTACATCCTGATTCGTAGAAAGAGAAAGAGACTGAGTCTCAGATGGGTTTTTGAAACCTCAAAGCCTATCCCAGTGACATACTTCTTCCAACAAGGCCACTCCTTCTAGTTCTTCTCAAATAATGCCACTCTCTGATCTATAAGCATACAAATATATGAGCCTATGGGTGATGCTGTAACGATAAACGGCACACTTACTGAAAGTAAAACTAAGTATTTATTGTAGAAATTACTCACAAGATACCAAACAAGTAACCCAGATGAGCCGAGTAGTTTTCTGCCACCGAACTGGAAGCTGAAAGCCGGAAAAAGAGATCAAGACTTCCGTTGTTCAGTCTTTTATACCTTCCCCGTAGCGCCCCCTAGTCATGCCCAAAAGTGGGCCTGGATAGTGATGTAGTTCACCTCATATGTACGTATACGTCTTTACGTCTGTCCGTATACGTCTTTAGTCATGCCTAAAGTGGGTATGGTTAGCGGTGTGGTAAACTGCTCTTTTATTACCTCACCTGTATGTGCCTCTAGTAAGTCACATGGTTAATGGCGGCATTGTTTTCCTCCTACATATGGGGGTCAGTTTTATTCAACCCACCACAGGCTTGCACATTTTTAACTTCATTAGAAAGCACAAAATAGCCCGGTGTTGGTTGCTCAAACGCCTTTAATCCTAGCACTCGGGAGGCAGAGGCAGGCGGATCTCTGTAAATTCTAGACCAGCCTGGTCTACAGAGCGAGTTCCAGGACAGCCTCCAAAGTCACAAAGAAACCTTGTCTCAAAAAAAAAAAAGCACAAAATAGTGCTGTACCCATATTTATTGTGCCAACAGTGGAATAAAGATCTTGTACTCTTGAAAACAATCATTGCATGAGTATGTTTTCTGTAGTCTGCTTGATGTGCTAACACCACATGATTTTTAGCATCTTTTTATTTCATTTTACATTCCAACCAAAATTCTCCCTCTCAGCCTTCCTCCCACCTCCCACACAGCCCCGCCCCACATCTACACATCCCAATAGGTAAGGACACCCATGGGGAGTTGACAGAGTTTGGCACATTAAGTTGAGGCAGGACCAAGCCCCTCCCCTCTGCATTGTCTGAGCATGGCATCCCCTCATAGGGAATGGACTCTAATAAGCTAGCGCGTGCACCAGGGATAGATCCTGTTCCTACTGCCAGAGGCCCTTTAGATAGCCCAAGCTTCACAACTGTCCCCCACATATGGAGGGCCTCATTCAATCCCTTGGAGGTTCCACAGCTGTCAGTCCAGAATTCTTTTTTTGTTTTTTGTTTTTCGAGACAGGGTTTCTCTGTATTGTTTTGGAGGCTGTCCTGGAACTGGCTCTGTAGACCAGGCTGGCCTCGAACTCACAGAGATCTGCCTGCCTCTGCCTCCCAAGTGCTGGGATTAAAGGCGTGCACCACCTGCGGATCCAGAATTCTTAAGTTTCCACAAGCTTGATTCAGCTGTCTCTGTAAATTTCTCCATCGTGATCTTGACCTCCTTTGTTCATGTAGTCCCTCCTCTCTCTCTTTAAATGTATTCCTGGAGTTCAGTCTGGTGCTTGGTTGTGGAGCTTTGCATCTGGTTCCATCAATTACTGGAAGAAAGCTCTAACTCTCTATAGCTGTGGATTGTAGTCTGGTCCCATTTATTGGTTTTTTTTTGTTTTTTTGTTTGTTTGTTTGTTTGTTTTTTTGGTTTTTACGAGACAGGGTTTCTCTGTATTGTTTCAGAGGCTATCGGTCCAGGCTGGCCTCGAACTCACAGAGATCCGTCTGCCTCTGCCTCCCGAGTG